CCACTTTTCGGTTGTCTGTCCCCCAGGGAGGAGGTCACACACAGTTCCATGTAATCGGTTCCCTCTTTCCTACCCATTCTCCCTTTACCCTCTGCCGTCTGCTACCTTGATACTTAACATAAATATATGTACATAGATCTATTTTCCTATCTTTATATATAATTATATTTACATATGTATATGCCTCCATAAATATCCTTTGCCACCTAGTTCTTTCCTTTATTTCCTTTTGCTTTCCTCTTGTTCCACTATCGGCCTTCATTCAGGTTTCAGTAATTCCTCTATGTTACATTGCCCTTGATCAAGCCCTACCAGGCATCCTATACCCTCCTCATCATAGATTTTAGATCACTTATTGTTCCCTTGTCCCTGGGTTGGTTGACACTCCCCTGCCTTTGCCCTGCGCCCCCCTCTCCCGTGTCCACCAGGAACTGTCGGTCCGTTGTTTTCTGCTCTGGATTGTTTATCCCGCCTATGTTTTCTAGATAGACATGCAGAGACAATAAGTACAAAAATAAGACAGAGCAAAACAAAGCAACAAAAGAAAACAACAACAAAATAACAACAACAACAACAAAAAGACCAAGGACAAAAAAAGAAAAGCCTGTATGTAGTTCCAGGTCTGTTTGTTGACCTTTAGGAAAGTTTCCTGGTTGAGTCTGATGGGGTGCTGTGCCCTGGTCCCAAAGTCTATTTTTGGTTGTTCCCCAGTGACTTAATTGCTTTGCTCCCCTTGCTGCTCTGTTGCACACCTTTTGCGTTTTGCCCTGGTGTGGTGGGGTCAGATTGGGCACAGTCTACACTTTCTGTCTCCATTGTTGTCCTTCGTAGCACTATGGGTCAATGAGGGACGTCGTGTTTCATGGTGGGGCCGGCCCTGTGGTCCTCTCCGTGTATTGGCTGCTCTAAGCAGGAATACCGTCCTCTGGGCTGGGTGGGCCCAGTGTTCCACTCTCTCTCCTTCCTTCTTCGTTTGCTGCTGTGTGCTCTGATACAGAGCATATTAATTTTCTGTTCAACAGTTTGGACACATTTTGTTTTGTAACATTATTTGCAATTCCCTCAACATGACAGCACTCATCCTGTTTTGACGTTGGGCTCCCATAGTAGCAATTCATCAATTTGTGTTATTGTTCACTTAAAGGCCTGTCCTTTGTTTGGCTACAAGGTGATCCCTAGGAAGTGTTCCGTCC